TCTATTGGTTTGCTTAGATGTTTGTTTTCTTTGGTGGAAATAAAATGATAGAAAAAGGAAGAATCATACAGATTTTTCATTAGGTGAGTAAAAGAAAATATGTTTTTGTCCAAGATGTATTGGAATAATAGCCTTTTCCATGTGCTTAAAGAGAATTAAAAATTGCATAACTTTTTAAAGATCACCATCTAAATTTGCATAAGCTCTGCAGACATTCATGTGAAATACAAGAATGAAAACACTATGGTCTTTAGAGTACGTAGAAAATTATTTTTAATTTATCCTTCCAGGAATACTAGCTACAGAGACTTGATTGCTTAGCAAGCAGTGCAGTTAAGCCATCTGAGGACAGAAGCATGACCTTTATGTGACAAAAGTCAGCTAAGCAGTATACCTTTAATACTGGATTGAAAGCACCCTAACAAGTATAGAAGCAGAATTTTAATATTGTCCTGCTTATCCATTATTTTTCAATTCTTCAGAAGTAAAGAAAATAAATTCTTCCATTCTGGAGACCCCAGAACTTTTTTTACTTCCTACTTCTACTGAATTTACCTATCTCAATACTTTCAGTTTCCTGAAGAGCAACTGCTAGTAGTGCAATCTGGAAAATGCAGTTAAAAAGAGCCTCAGGATATCTCCCTTATATTGACCATAATTGCAGGATTCCCTATTATTTCAATGTTCCACCCCATCTCCTGTTTTATAATACTACTCATTACAACCACCAACTCAGGAAGAAGAAAACTGTGATGCTTGGAACATTCTGTGACACAAGATTAAAATGTTTGTACAACAGTCCTATATATACATGCAGAAGCAATTTGTGGTGATGGCAAAACCTGGACTCATTCACCATCCACCTTAACAGGGAAGCTGAAAAATACAGGTCTCTTCTAACACCTGAGGTGGACATAAAACCCACTAAGACAGACTGGAATTTTGATAGGGAGGCAGGAGCTCATATGGACCACATTTTCACTGGGCTGCAAGACTACAAGTTTTCACTCATTTTAAACATAACTTTTGTTCTAAAGTTTGTTTTTTTTTAATGTGCGTTTGCACACAGGAGCATGTTGCCCAGGGAGGTGGTGCAGTCTCCATCCTTGGAGATATTCAAAATCCCAACAGGGAGAGAGTCTTGAACTCCAGCTGACCCTGCTTTGAGCAGGGGAGGGTGGAGTAGATGACCTCTCAGGGCACCAGATGTGCCCATCAGCTATTCTGATTCCCAAACAGCTCTGGGTTGGACAGAAGTTTGAATGAATGACCAGGACAATTAAACTCCTTGGTGCTGCAATAATCATCTGTTTTATGGCACTCAGGTGCAGAGGTAAATGGTTATTACAATGCACTTAAGAGTTGGATCCATTTCAGAAACTGAGAAAGTAATTCTTATCTGTTTTTTTTGTTTTTTTTCAGAAGGAAAGGAAACCATGCATGTTTATTATTTATTTTGTTACTTCACATTAGTCTGTATTTCTTTGGATGAAATTTTGCTCAACAACGTAAACTTAAAAAAATTGGTTTTACAGAATTGGCATTTTTACAGAATAAAAGCTATTGATATGGACTACTGTTTTGATTTAAATCTACTACTTTTATAGCTTAAGCAGTACCTAACAGTGCTGACACAGCTATGTTCAGATAAAACTGGGATAGATGTCACCAGGGTGTTCCATGTACCAGGAATCCAGATGCCTTTCCTGCTGGAGCTCTGCAGAGCTCTTAGTGCTGCCCTCAGGAGAGGTGAGTAAGGGCCAGGTCAGCTCCAGGGCTCCCTCAGTTTATATTATTTAGTTCTCACTAAACCTCCAAGAGCAGCAGTGTTCCCAAAAGCTTATTAGAATATATCAGCGGTGGATAAAAGAAGTTATGTGATAGTGGATAAAGTTCTTATAATCTCTTAGAAAAGTCCCACGGTTCTCCACAAAACTTACTTAATTGCTTTGTCATTTGTGCTTGTTAGTCTTTCTGGAAAGCCACTCTGAGGAGTCAGAAACAGCATCTGCAGGGGGGGAGATGGAAACCAAAGGGTCCCTTACGGGGCACACAGACCAGGGACTCATTACAGGACTTTCAGTACCTGCCAGGCCTGTACCTCAACCTGCAGTCAAGTACTGGATTGTTCCTGGCATTTATAGTGACAAAACCTGTGCCTGAATTCTGGATGAGGGTGATAATATTCTTCCTTTGAAAAGAGCAACCCAAGAAAGCTCTGTGTTCAGAGAGTGGTGACTGTGCAGGAGCTGGCTCGCTTTCTGCACTTATGGAAACCAAATAAATGCCATTCTAGCTGGTGCTGCAGTTTAATTTCAATGATCAAATTGCCCATGCTTACTAATGCCTTTTCTTATGGAGTTTGCACTCAGCAAAGACATTATAGGTGATGTGCTGGAGAAAGGAACAGCCAGTTCTGGGCACAGTATCACACAGATGAGACTTAATCTGTACTTGAAAAAGCTGCATTAGACATTGACCTGCACATTTATGCAGGTACTTAATTTTCCAGTCTAGGGCAGCATGCCTGCAAATTACATTTGACTGCTGCTTAGTTTGGGCAGCTGCAACTGCTCTGTTTCCTTGTTCAGGGAAGAGGGTTGTATTTTACAAGAACTTGGAAGCTCTCAAGCTGAGACAAACCTGGCAGTTTGACCAGGAGCAAACAGAAGACTTCATGTATCTTGGCATAAACAAACACTGCCCTCAGATGTTCCCTTTCAAAACCGGACACGAAGGGGTACGGAGGGGGTTGTTGCAGTCTCTTTGAAACTCTCTGCAGCTCAGCACTTGGCACTTAAAAAATTTACTATTTTAAAATAAATATATAATCTGCACATTTTAACAAATAGCCAGAAATTGTAAGAACTCATTAAAATTTGTTCTCTGTCTGTACTGTGGACCATGTTTGGGCTCTGGTTTTGTTCACTGAAGACTTGAGTTAGCCAGCTGCTTCTGCTGTTACTGACCCCAAAGGCAACTCACCCAGTGACTGTGCAGACAGCCACAAAAGTTGGGGTGGGTGTGCTCTGCTCCACCCCCACTGCCCAGGGGATGTGCCAGGTGTTCCCCTGAGACACCTGTGGGATCAGCAGCTTGGGATGGCTGCTGAGAGAATCCCCACTGCCCTTCCACCAAAACTCGTCTGGGGAAGGACAGCTCTAACTTTGTGTTGGTGATTCTTGGAACAGTGGCCTGTGAAAGCTGCCTTGGAGTGCAGGGAAGGGGAAGTTTCTTCAGAAAACAGCAGGCTGCCAGGTTTATTTGCACCTTTCTCTCTAAATGAAACTCTGATTAATAGATAAGTGCATTAAGAAAAAGTAACTTCTTAATTAAGAGAAATTTGGGAAATTTTGTATCTCTAGAGGAAAGATTTAGTAAAGCTTTAGTATAGACTTTGTAGAGAGCTATGTTGATAGGAACTGTAACACAAGTTGATCATAAATACTGCAGCATATATTTAATTATTTTCTTGGTTTACAGCAACAAAAGTTCAGATAATGTAAATATTTAGGAATAATTCTGATTTCAACACAACCTTATTAATTGATTTCTCTTATTTTAATAATTGATATAGCACATCTAATTTTTAGCTAAGAACAATTTGTGAAACAATTCTGGTCATATTAATCAACCGCTGGCTCCAAGATAATGAAATACTTACCGCCTCTGGTGGGTTAGCATGGACTATAAAATGTGCTAAATTAGAGACACCAAAAGCTTGAAATAGCTTTTATGAGGTAGCTTGAGGGAAAACTTAAAATCGTTTGTAGGAAATAGCTTTTATCTACCATTTGGCATTCATGTTGCTAAAGCTGTAGATTACATTTCCCTTTGTTAAGAATAAAGAAATAAACAGAGATTAATTTATGCAGCTAAGAGATGAATGTGAGCATAAATCTTTCCTTTTAATAGAAATTCCTCCCATTTTAATTATTGATAACAGTTCAACTTGCTCAAAAGGAAAAAAAATAGCATTTTAAATTTATTCTGCTTCTTTTACTCTGCACTTTTTCATGGGTGAGGAAAAAGGACTACCCCTGTTTTCTCTCTACCCTTTCCGATTCCCCTGCCCAAAGGCATTGGCAGCATTGTTTTCTTAGGGAAAACATATGAGGAGGGGGGTACATTTCTGTACCTCACTAACAATCCTGACTGAACTGCCCACCAGGTTCCCATCTCCATATTCACCCGGAGCAGGCAGCAGCTGGGGCAGGGAGCGATGCGCTACCCCTGCTCACTGACACAGCAGCACTGACGGGGGCACCGGGGCCATCCCAGCTCTTCCACGGGGCGCGGAGCCCGGTCCAGGGAGGTCCCACGGTGACAGCCGAGGCTGCGGCGGCTGCACTATCTGGGTGCACTATCTGGGTGCACTATCTGGGTGCTCTGTCTGGGTGCAGTACCTCGGTGCAGTATCTGGGTGCTCTGTCTGGGTGCAGTACCTGGGTGCTTTGTCTGGGTGCACTATCTCGGGGCAGTGTCCGGGCCGATGGGCCCGGCCAGGCTGAGCTGAGCTGAGAGGGGTCAGTGCCGCGGGCACACACAGCGGTGCTTTCACTCTGGGCGCGCAAATGACGCAACAACGCCCCCAAAATAACTTCGCGTCACCTTTCCCCAGTGTTTTATCTCTTCTGCTCGCAAACAGCCGCGGCCTGCGCGGCCCCCTCCGCTCTCCGGCGGGGTCAGAGCTCCCCCTCCTGAGGCACCACGGCCTCGCTGCTCCCCGGCACCGCTCCCGCTGCCCTCGCCGGGTGTCTCTCCGGGGGACGCCAGGAAGGAAGCGGCGGGGCGCTGCCTCCTGTCCCGGCAGGGGCCCTCCGCCGCCGCCGGGCTCGCAGGCAGGTAGCGGCCGCGGGAGGGACGGGCCGCCCGGGCGGTTCCAGGCGGGGCCTGGCGGGGGGTGGCGGAGCCGGGACCCGGTGCAGCCTCCCCCGCGGGTGCTCGGCGCTGCGGGCGGGCGGGGGAAGGCGGCGGGCGGCGCTGGGCGGCCGCACCGCATGCGCAGGAGGGCAGGTGTCGCCGGCAGCCGAGGAGCCGCCGGGAGCATCGTGGCAGCTCCGCGAACCTCATGGTGCTGTGTCAGGGCGGAGAGGGCGACGCTGCTCCGGCAGCGGCCGGGCAGGAGCCTGAGGTGCCGCCGGGCCGGGAGGATGGGCCGGGTGCGGTGCAGCCGTACCCGGCGCCCGGCGTCGAGGCGGCGGGTGCCGAGGAGCGCCGCGGTTGTGGCTGCTGCTCGGGCATGTCGTGGCCGTTCTGCTGCGAGGCACCTGGTGAGGAGAGAGAGTCGGGCAGGGGGGCAGCGTCGTCCCGGCTGGGCTGCCCGCTCTCGGGGTGACATTGCCGGGCCGCGGGGGATGAAGAAGCGGCCCGAGGGCATCGGGCCGTCCGCACGTGGCGGCGGGGCGGGGAGCGGCCTCAGGCGGCTGCAGAGGGCGCCCGGGCATCGGTGCCCGCCCCGCCGGCGGCAGGAGCCGCCTCGCCGCTTCCGAGCCGTCCCCGGCGGCGGCACCTGGTACCCGCGGCTCACCTGCGAGCGGGTTCGGCCTCGCCCTCGTCCTCCCGTCCTCTTGAGTGGACAGGCCGGCCCCGGTGAGGGAATTAGCGGGCCGGCAGCACGTCCTGCTCCGTGCCCCGGTGCCCTGTGCCTGTGCGCCGGGCGCGGCTCGGGCCGGGTGCCCGGTGCCCCCCGCCCCGGGAGCGGGCACAGCGCCGGCACCGCTCACCCCCAGGGCCGGGCGGCTCTGTCGCCTCTGTGAGAACCTCGGGAGCGATTATTCCTCGGGAAAACAGTACTTCCTGTTTTAAAGTTTTAAAGACTTGACAGGTTTGGGTAAATAGAAGTGCCTTCTGCCTATGTGAACCTCTGACACTATAAATGCGTTTGAGAGCGCGCTTTAGTTGGTCCACGTACTTGGGACTCTGACTTCCTGATAAGCCACAAATTGATAAAGCCACAAACGTATTGGGAAATATGTAACATGTAGGTTTAAAGTGGAGTTCTCTTAAAACATAAATGCCATCTTAAAATAATTTCTGAAGTTATCTGGAGTACTTTTTTTAAAACAATTTCACTGAAAATGTGTTTGTCATTAAAATGACTGTAATTGACTTTGCAGCAGAAAATAGATTTGTTGGTGAGCTGTGGAGAGGCCAGAGTCCTTCATCAGTGAAATTCACATTAGTGTCACTTACAAAGCAAAGCTTGGGGAAAAAACCCCAGTGTTTGAAATCCTGAGAAACTTTGATTAATTAACCAGAAAGAGTACTTCGGTTTTGTGTTGTCTGCCTCAAAATTGTTGACTGAGTTGATGACTGAAGGCTATGAATCACCCCTAGATCTTGTCTGCATGACCATGATTAGTTCCAGTGCAGGCTGTTGTGCTCCTGGCACTTTACAGAAGTCAAAGAGAGCTCTTCTGCTTTTTATAACGTGGGGAATCTTCTGCCTTTCCTGAAGGTCTAGGACAATCATCTTCTCACTGACTGTCTTTCCCACAGCCAGTACTCTTCTGCCTCTCCTGCTGTTCTTCAGATGCTTGTATGTGAGAAGTGTGATTTTTTTATAGCATGCATTTTGCAGGTATAAAACTGTTTGCAACAAGGTACAGCATTAAAAACTCAATTAGAATTTACAACTAAAACAGGTCGCAGTGGGAGCCATTTACCTATGACTTAAAACAGAAGTAGAAGGTTGTTTGAAAGCATTATGTATGGAGATGGCCAGGAAATAAAACTGGAAAACTAAATCTGTAGCCACTCAAAAGAGGACTTGGGTACTGCTTGAAATCTTTTGATTTTCAGGCTGCTACATTCTTTGAAAAAAGCATGAGTGCTTGACTGTTTTGATGGTGTTAGGCTGGTATTTTGAGGCTTAATATTTTGTGGGGTGGGAATGTTATCTTAATGTAACTTCTCTCTAAAACTTACTTTGAAATAAGTACTCTTCAGAACTGCAGTTCTTGTTTTTGGTGGAAGAACTTGGACCATTTTATTTTTAAAATGAAATAAAACACTTTCTTATTGTACTAAGTACATGCTTTGGCAATTCAAGATGTTGATAGTTTAAATTCTAGTATTACAAGATTCTGAAGAGTCTGTTTTTGATAGGCTTGTGCTATTGGGTAGCTTACAGAAATTAGTTCCTTCTGATTTTTGTTTGTTCCTTACAATCCAAAGTTTAGTTCTGGATATAAGATCCTTTCAGTATATTTTGCTTTAATTTGATTGGTTTTCCACTTCAGTGCTTCCTTTATTTAGGTTGGCTTCATTCTGTAATAATCAGAGAAGCTATCATGCCTGAGATAAAAGTTAATAGTTATGTTTGTGCTGTGTTCATCCATAAGCCAGCCTGGGTTTGGATTTCCCATTTCAGTTATAAGCCAGTCTGATTCCTTTTGTTTCAATATTAGAGACTGTTAATTTTGAAGTTCTGTTATGTGACTGTGTGGATTAAGGCATTACGTAGTTCACGAACACTTTTTAAACACTTTGTTTCATAGTTGGTAGGTGTCCTGGTCCAGTGTTGGTTTGTGGTAGTTTTTATAGTCAGTTTTATGTAAGAGGCTGTTGCTAAACAGAAATATTTCAAGTAGAAGCTGTAACTCTCAGCTGCAGTGTGGCAGGATTCCTTGAGAAACAAACCTTTTGCCTACTTCAGGTTGTGGTTGCTGTTGTAAAGCCTGGGTCCCTAGGACTCCAGCCTGCAAGTCTTCCCTTCTAGGCAGTAAGTAAGATGCACTTTCTCAGCCTTGAGTGCTGATCTCAAGGAGGATCAAAATGGTTTGTGACAAGTTTTGTTAATTTAAAAAAAAAAACCCTCTCAAAACCATACTTAGTTGCTAAGCAACTCACAGCAGTACCCAGCTGACGGTGTTTTAGAGGATCCATAAGGCTCACAGGCTGCCACACTAATGTGAGATGAGGCATCCTTTTATCAAAACACTGCTTCTGGGACATGGAGCTCTTGCTCCTATCTTTAGAGGGAGTTGCAGAAGAAAAGGTAGCTCCCCGTATTTTATGCAGGTAGAGAAAAAAGAAAGAGATAGTGAGGTGACATCCCACTCAAATTTTTAAATGGGCTCTGTTTTCGTTGGTGTTCACCTCTAGGTTCAGTGGAAACACTGTTCCTTTTATGCAACAAAGCAATAACAAAAAAAGGCTGATTTCTTTGGAGATTGCTGCTGCTGACTTCAACACAGTTCTCTGTCTCACAGTTCTCCCTCTCCTTGCTTGCTTTTTTTTTTTTTAATCAGTGTGGAGAAAATGAGTGGAACGAGGAAGAGTATGTTGTTGAAGAGAGCCTGAGGCAATGAGGAAACTTGAATAGAAAAATTAGACTTGGGAAACTTTCAGGAAGGGGAAGTCTGATAAATAAGCATAAACTAAGGTCTTCATGGAATTATGACAAATATCAGGCCTTTGATGTTCTAACATTAGTTACTTAAATTTATTCTGCTTAAAAATCTGTATTTGATGCCTATTTGAAGAAAATATTTGGATTCTTACAGTGAGATAAAAATGTTATTGGTCTTGGTCAAATTTAGGATGATTTAGTTGCAAAATAAACATGAGGTATGATAAAAATGAACTTCTGTACAGAGATTTTATATTGTGTATTTGTGAGAAAGGAAATTAATTTTTGCTTAGGAACCTTAGTTAACTAAGCAGCTGATTCCCAAGATAATAGTTTCAGAATCTGACCATGGACTGTTTTGTAGTCAGTTACATTTGTTGGTTCCTGGGCAGAATTGTGACTAGTCCCTATAGTAAATCACCTGTACTGGTCTGATATCTACAAGAAGTTAAGTCTACTATCTCGTGTAGAACTGCAGTGTTTTGTATCCCAGGTGTTAGAGTTCATCTCTTACACCCTGTTTTAAGAAAAAAAAGAAGACCCATGATGGTCAGTGAAAAGTATTTTCATGGTAGATTTGGTAAATATATGTAATATTTGTGTTTGTTTCTTTGGTTCCCCTGTTCTCCATCACAAAAATCACTGCAGATACGTGGAGCACTGCAGTGTGCAGAGCTGTCTGATCAGAAAAGTCTTCTAATAGATCCTTATTAACTGTAGTTTTATCTGTTGCAGGGGCAAAGAGGAAAGCTACGTGCCCAGGACTTGGTCTGTTTTATACCATACTATCTGCCTTCCTTTTCTCAGTGGCCTCTTTATTTCTTAAAAAAATAGAAGATGTACATTCAGTGGAAGTGAGTGCATTTCGATGTGTTTTCCAAATGGCATTTGTTCTTCCTGGTTTAATATACTACAAGTAAGTGTAAAAAATGTTTAAATTTCAAGTTATTTCTTAAAACTAGATCTAGAATTATCACTCACTTTAATATGATTGCAATGCAGTGTTATTTTAGTTTGGACGTCAGTTGCATAACTGCATTATTTTAGATTAGTTGATCGTTTCTTAATATGAAACTGAAAATCTTTGACTCCCTGAATGGTAGAGGCTTCTACTAGGATTATTGTATCAAGTGATTTGATTTCCACAAAGGGGTGATCTTAAAAAAACAGAAGATAATTTGTAGATACTATTGGGTTATTTTGCTAGTGAAAAATTATTCACTAGAAGAACAGATTCTGGACTCTGAATGTGATTGGGGGTCATGATGGAAATAAACTGGTCTGTGATCAGACAGTTAAGAATATTTGGGTATTAAACTCCCTTGTCTAGAAAGGTATATACCATACTTAAATATGTTTGGATGTTAGTCATGAAATAAGCAAGGTAGTGACATTAATGTGACATTTCTGTTTTTCAGAACAGGGTTTTTGGGACCAAAAGGTAAAAGAATTTTTCTTTTCTTCCGAGGATTCCTTGGCTCTACTGCAATGATTCTTCTCTACTACGCTTACCAAGTCATGCCGCTAGCTGATGCCACTGTTATAACTTTTACCAGTCCTGTTTTTACATCATTGCTGGCATGGATCTTTCTCAAAGAGAAATACAGCCTTTGGGATGTTCTGTTCACTCTCTTTGCAGTCACTGGAGTGATTCTTATTGCCAGACCACCATTTCTGTTTGGCTCACGTGTTGCAGGGATTGAAGGAAGTTACTCAGATCACCTTAAAGGAACCATAGCAGCGATTGCAAGCACGATATCTGCAGCTTCGACTATTGTTATACTAAGGAAGGTGGGAAAGTCTGTGCATTATTTTTTGTCAATTTGGTATTATGCAGTCATTGGATTAATTGGATGTGTTATAGCATTGTTTGTTTTGAATGAATGGCGTTTACCACATTGTGGCAGAGATAGGGTTTTTCTAATATTAATAGGCTTGTTAGGGTTGGGGGGTCAGATATTTCTCACAAAAGCATTACAGATAGAGAAAGCTGGACCTGTATCAATAATGAGAACAATGGATGTGGTGTTTGCTTTTATTTTACAAGTTCTTTTTCTCAATCATATACCAACTTGGTGGACTGTGGGTGGTGGCCTTTGTGTAGTAGCCAGTAGTTCCGGAACCGCCATTCGTAAGTGGAGACACAGTGTGAAAAAAGCTAAACAGAGGGAAATCTAACAATACAGACACTAATTCACTACAGAAACAAGCAATCTTGAAAGATATATAAATACAATATTTATTTTTATTTATTTAAATATCCCATTTACCAAATTGTACTACCAAATTATATCCAGTAAAATAAGTTGACTTTTTTTTAACTAAAATCGAAGATGTTTTAGCAACTGATGAGGTATATACTTTCTTGTATTTAGGTGTGCTAATATGGGCAGTAGAGAGATACTTCAAAGGTGTTGCTTCCTTTCAGAAGTGTACAATATTTATTTTCCTAAATTTCCTGACTCTCCACTTAGACTCTATTTTTCAGAGCAGTGGAAATAAGTCTCCCAGACTTAATAATATTCTGTGCTTGATTACCACAGGGATTGCAGTACAAAAGTTGGAAGGGAATGAAGAGTTGATAATCCTTAAACAACCAGCTTTTATAGAATAGATAAAACTTGTACTTCTATAAGCTTTCTAATTATTATTTTGCACAAAGAGATGCCAAATGTGGATTTAATTTGGATTCTAAAAAAACAAAAGCGATTTCATTTTTCCAAGTAATATCAAGAGAAAATTAACTTGGGAAAATTACCTATCAGCTTTGCTTTTTTAAAAAAAGTATTTGAAGTGTTTGCACTTACTTCACAGACATAGTGAAATAACCTAATCACCTATTTTTTTTCACTAGTGATTCTCCCTGTAAACATGTCTTTAGTTGCTGCAGTCTCAGTGATGAGAGACAACAGTTAATTCTATACCACACATAAATTAGCCCTTTCTTCTGGTAGGGACTGCTGCGCTGTAGCTGCACTTTTCTTTATTCTATGCAAAAGATTATATTTTTTAGGTTTTTAATATAGGTTATATTTAATGCTGCTTATGACCCTTTTCAGATCCTTCTATACAAAAGTTCTTTATGAGACCAAGTTTGAGTCTCCTTTGCCTTCATAAACATAGAAGGATTTACATTAAAGCTTTTGCCTGTTTCCTAAGAATGTACAAGAGCGCAATGTTAATTGCAGTTTTCACAGAAAATGCAGGTTGGCCAAGGTCATACAGAGATTCTACAGAAGAGGTTTGAAGAAAGCTTGGTGGAAGGGTGACACTATGCATACACATCACATTCAGCCATCCACACTGCATCAGACAGTCCTAGTGGGCAACTTCAGTCCCACTTTTCACGCTGGCCCTTTTAACTCTGTATTTATCACTTCTCTTGCACATCTTCTCACTTTTGTAGGCTTTATCTTGAATGCAACAAATACTAAAGAAAAATAGTTTTAGATCTTAGTATCCTTCACATTTCAGGAGGACTAAACGTTCAGTATCAGGAAGTGAAATTTTCCCAAGTTGAAACTTTGGGTCTTGTCTCAGTAAAGTTTAAAGAAAATTTTAATTGGAATCTTTATTTGATCCTTTGTATCTTGAGGAGGTTTTCTGTTACTTACTCAGTCTACTGTTTTCTAAAAGAGAATGCTGTGTTCTGTACACTTGATAGATGTTTTTTTCCTAAATCACTACAGGTGGTGGATGTTTTCTTTGATTTATAGATGTCTAGTCACTTGTCTTTTCCTTTGCCAATAAGCATTGCATCCTGTCAGGGCAGATGCAGAGACTTCAATCCCAAAGGCATGGAATGCAAATAGTACCTTAGGGTCATAATATACTGAGTCAGAAAGGGCCTGTCAGAATCATTGAGTCCAACTCCTGGCCCTGCACAGGACACCCAAAGGGTCACACCACGTGCCTGAGAGCATTGTCCAAACGTTCCTTGAATCAGACAGGCTTGGTGTTCTGACTGCTTCCCTGGGGACCTTGTTGCAGTCCCCAGATATCCTCTGGATGAAGAACCTTGTCCTAATATCCAGCTTAAACCTCCCCTGACTCAGCTTCAGGGCCTTTACTTGAGTTCTGTCACTGACTACAGGGAAAAGAGATCAGCACCTGCCCCTCCACGTCTTCTTATGAGGATGTTGAAGACCTCAGTGAGGTGTCCCCTCAGTCTCTTCTTCTCCAGGGTGAACAGACCAAGTGACCTTAGCAACTCCTCATAAGTCTTCCCCTGCAGACCCTTCACCATCTTCATGGCCCTGCATTAAGCTCTCTAATAGCTTAATATTGTTTTACCTTATGGCACCCAAAACTGCCCCCAGCACTCAGTGCAAGATGCAGTGCAGAGCAGAGTGGGACAGTCCCCTCCCTCACCCAGCTGGCCATGCTGTGCCCAGTGCCATGCTGTGCCCGGTGCTCCCCAGGACACGCTTGGCCCTCCAGGCTGCCAGGGCACTGCTGATTCCTACTCACCTTGCCATCCACCAGGCCCCCAGATCCCTTTCTGTGGTGCTGCTCTCCAGCCTCTCATTCCCCAGTCTGTCTGTTGCCCCACCCCAGGTGCAGAATCTGTCACTCGACCTTGTTAAACTTTGGATGTTTGGTGGTTGCCCAGCCCTCTAATTTATCGAGGTATCTGCAGGGCCTCCCTGCATTTGGGGGAGTCAACAGCTCCTCTCAATTTAGTGTCATTGATACTCCTTGATATTCCTTGGAGTCCTGCATCCAAGTCATTAATGAAGATGTTGAAGAGAACTGGGCTGTGTCTGGAGCTCATTAGAGACTGGACCCCTGAAGTCACCCCATTCTCTGTAACTCTCTGTGCCTGACCCGTGAGCCAGTTGCTCACCCATTGTGTAACACAGTTATCCAGCTGTGTGCTGGACATCTTGTCCAGAAGGATGCTGTGACAGTATCAAAAGCTCTGCTGAAGTCCAGAAAGATTATGTGTACTGGCTTTCCTAGATTGACTAGGAGGTTTGACAATCAAGACTTGCCATTCATGAAGCCGTGCTGGCTGGGACCAATGATTCTGTCCTCCAGGTGTTCTTCATTACCTCACAGAAAAACCTTTTCTATGTATCTGAATATGAGGAGCTGTCATTGTCCAAGTTTCTGTAGGCAAAACCTGCACCCTGAATCTGAATGTGTTTAAGGATATGAGAAGATTCCATTTGAGGGGTAGAATTGGTTCCTGCTTACAGCTGTCTGTTCTCTGCTTTTCCTGAACACTGAAGCTCAGCTACTGCTGACAAGGTCAGGAAACTGCTTTATTATCTCTTAAAAGCCTCACATAATAATAAAATTCCAGTTTGGCACCCTTTTTGCTTAGTACTTGAAACTCTGAACTGGGATTGTTTTTCTGCTGCTTAACCATCACTGCCATTGAGAGCAGCTTTCAGGGGAGGGAAGGAAAACAGACTGCATTTTTTACTGCTTCACTTCACGTGTAATATGCATGTGTTTGAATTGCCACTTATAAAGGTGTGGTTCCAAAACTGTTCAGATTGATGCAAACTTGGATTGTCAGCTAGCCCTGCTCTTTCCTCTTGGCTCAATGCCTATGTGGTTATGCGATGAGCTACTCCTGGGAGCTGATCCAGTACATGTCTTCTTAGTAAGGGTGTTGGAGAGGGCAAAACCGGAGTAACCTAAACTTGATGACAGTATAAAAACTTCAGGAAGTCGAATTTGGTATTAGTTTAAATTACATTATATGAATGCTGCTTTGTCAGTACAGAATAAAAATTATGTGGAAGCTTACATTAAAAAACATCTTTAGTCCGTGTGATTTCAATCAATCTTGTTTACACTTAGTAGAGAAAACAGGTTACTGAAGAAAGGATTGTTTTCTTGTCCTTAACACATAAGTAAATGTAGAAAATATGCTACATGACCAGAAGTCAACATCTAGGTATAGTGGTTTGTAATTTTTGTCTCAAGTTCTAGCAGAAACTCTTTCAATATATTTCTTTTGCCAAAACCCCCAGATGATTGGTTTTTTTCTTTGTTTAAACATACAGGGTTTCCTTATGGCTTCATCTGCTTATTTCCTCTTGCTGTTCTTAAACCTTGCTAAATATTTAAGTTGTTAAGATAATAATCTAAACCAGATCCTATGTTGGCAGATGTATGTTTTGGAACATTGTTTGGATTTTGATCGATCTTTTAGGGAACTGTTTACTGGAATGAGAATGAAGGACTTGACTAGGGCTTCTCTGTCCATAAAGCATTACAAGCTAGTTTCTGTAATTGGCTTTTCTAGATGATGTTGGGAATTAAAGACATTTAAGCTTTAAGTTCTTAAACCACCTCAATTTTAAAATTTTTCTTCCTCTCAAGTATAGGCAGAAAGCCTACATATTAGTTGCAAGCCTTAAAGATAATGAAACTACAGAAGTGTGGATATGATGAAATGCTGGGGTTTTTCAATTGAAAATATTTCTTAAAATTTCTGTTGGGATGGTAAAACTTTTCTCCAAAAATTAACAGTTTGAGAATCTGAAATGAAACTGGCTGAGCCTTGATTCTTTTAGATTTTGATCTTCTTTAGCTTTTTCATACAGCAAGTTTCTCAGGGTCAAAAGTTATTTTTCTGAGCTTTGAGTCAGAAATATATTGGTGTTCATTGTCTGTAGTGTCCTGCTGTGATCTTTACTTTATAAATATGCTATTCTAATAGCAACTCCTTCCTATGTAATATGATGGAATATTGTTGCACTGCAATTGCTTTGTTATAATGTTAAGTTTCTCTTGAATTTCAACATATTCATTCAATGTTCCGATTTCAGTGGATTCTGAATAGAAGGAGTAATAATTAATTACTGGTTATTTTGCACAGAAACATAGGGATAAAAAGATTTAATTGTTACTGATGCATCATAAGTTTGGTTCATATGTTCTTTACTATGCAAGACACTGTAATTGCTGGTGGTGAGACTTTGTAGCCTTAATGCCTTATGTACCCAATTCTTCTGTAGAAAGCTGATGGCTTTGTACCGTCACTGTGCAGCAGCCAATTTCTTTCAGGTTCTGTTGGTTGTTCAAAGTATGCTCTAAAAGCCCTTTAAATAAGGGCTTTTAAATAAGTCTACACCAAGAATTTGACAAGCTCATTGTAGTAGACAAGAGTGGTCTATATAATTAAAATGGATTTCTATCTAACACCAGGCATGAAATAA